AGTATAAATATTATAGAGTAGCAATCTCGTACAAGCAAATTTTTGTATGAGGTTGCTGCTGCTGGCAACCTTTTTGCACTCAAAAAACACTCCATTCTCTTCATGTCTTGTTTTCTGAATTGCTTTGGAAATTAAAGTAAAGGGCAAAACGATTCTCTCAAATAACTCTTTTCGTCGTTTGTTATATTGATCAGTGCTTCTGCGAATTTATTAGGAAGGTATATGTAGGAAAAAAATATTACTCTAGTCTTTTTGAGTGCTTTCATATTGCATGTGCACTTTACTAGCATACATACAGTAACGAACAAAATTATTGGCACAGTAAGCAAATTGAACTATTAAAAATCGCATTATTAACAGGATAAAAATAGTGCAAAAGTTCAATTTGCTTGCTGTGCCAATAATTTTGTTCATCACTGTATATATTTACATATTTCTTTTCTATTTCTCAGCATGTAGGTATGTTTGTATTGATTTTGCATCCAATATTAAGAAATTGTAAGCGTAAAAAGAAGTTTGGTTTTTTTTGTTTCATATCAGAAACAATGCTACTATTATTTTTATTGTTTTGATTCTGATTTAAAACTGTTTTTAAAAATATCTATGTATATGTAAAGGCTTACTAATTGCTTCATTATACACATATGTATGTATGTATATATTATGAGCTTCATGTGTTAATAAATAAATAAATAAAAAGAATAAATATAAAAATGTTTAACCAATTCTGATGGTGCAGTTACAACCTCATCTTCTTTCCGTATTTGGGGCCAAAAATCTATTTCTCTACGTATATTATATATACGTATATATGTATATATATATATGGGAATGTAAGGAATATATGAGAATAAACCCAAAACTAATAAAATTCATTAAAAAAAACATGAGTACCCTTTATTTCTAGGAAGTTCTGAAACAAAAATAATAATATGTTCATATGCCTATGCCTATGACCATAAAATAGAATATATTCCTCTATTTAAATTTGGTGCTGAAAAGTGATATTTAGTTTCAATGAAATATAAATACACAAGGGTACAAAATAGAGTACAAGGAAACAAAATCATAACAAAAAACTTACATGCACGTGCTCACTATGTTATAGAACGTTGTAGAGAAATTCATTGTGCTCTCTATTTCATGTAACGTTGTTACCCGCGCCCCCACAGGTCTACTTAGCAAATTGAGTTTGTTTTCAGATTTCTACTCTATAATATTTATACTCAATGGTTGCCCCAATGTACTTTTTAATGAAAAGTAAAGTATGAAAAGAAAAGTGAAATATTTGACAAAAAACTGGTTTCTTTGCACTTTCTGTTGCACCAACACTTTTTACTTTGCGCTTTGCAAAAGTAAACTGCAAATACAAAAAAATTGCAAATGATTAATTCACTTTGCAAATTTTGCAAAGTGATTTCTTTCAATGCGTAAAATGAAAGAAATCATTAATAAATAAATAAAAATAGTTTTAAAAAAATATAAATAGAAAATTAGTTTAAGCAAATATTATTGCTGTTTTTGAAATAAATTTAGTTGCAATAATTAAAGGGATATATTACCGGATAATACTTTTAAATTGTGAATTGAAGAGTTCAGTTTCTAAAAAAAATTTATAATACATTTAATATAAATATTTTATGTGAATTATTGTTTAAGCATGAACACTTATTTATTATAATGATCAGTTTATTATTATTATTAGTCTGTTATCGTTCAAATTCTCCGAATTATGAACTAAGAAAAAACATGGGTAAAAAATATCCTATAATAGCTAACATTGTAACATTTTTAAATATCTAATTATCCGTATCTAATTATGATAATAAAAATATATTTCTAAAGACTATAATTAAAAAATTAGAAGTGTTTGGATTTCCGTCTCTTTTTGAACCTTGTTTGAAATGTAATTAAAAATAATTTAGTCCACTAGGATTAATAAAATTAGTTAAGTTAGTTATAAGTTAATTTTTTAAAATTGGTTAATGACAGATTTTCAACTAAATTTTTATATAAAAGCAACTTATTATATTTTTTAACTTTGTTTTTCAATATAATTGTTGTTGAAACAACTCATACTCATACTCTTTACATTTAAATTCTTTTTTTATAACTTTTCAAACTGCAAAAAAAATTAAAAGCATAAAAATTGTTTCTATGGATATATACAACTTCTTTATCTATGATTAAAATAAAAGAAATCATATACAAAAATTTTGTGTTTTGTATTAATATATAACATATAATTGTACTAAAATTATACAAATATTACAAATTGTAATAATATAAATTATTAAAATAAAATATTATTTTAAAAACTTTTTTTTTAAACAAAAATTAAACTCATAAGTACATACTATGCATAAATCATGTACTCATAGCATCAAAATATCAAACAAACAAAAAACAAGTATACATACAGAATCGAAATGCTTTCAAAAACCAATACAAAATGAAAGTGATCTAATTTTTTGGTGCAACGCTTTGCTTTGCATTTTAGGCAAAGACTTTGCAGTAAAATTTTTATTTGCAAAGTGCAAAGTAAATTATGTTAAGTCTTTGGTGCAACGCTTTTCACTTTTACTTTGCAAAAAAAAGTCACTCATAAGTTTTGCAAAGTGAAAAGTGAAAAGTGTTGGTGCAACAGGGTTCAGGTGCGGGGTCGAATGGTGACTTGCTCGGCCACCTAACCAAAAAAAACAACACCACAGGCAGAGACATTGGCTGATTTTTTATGGACATCGCGGAAAGTTCGAGGTAATGTCTGTAACATTTACTTCATTCTTATTGGATTAAATATTCTATTCCCTCACAGGCCTACATCACAGTCTATTTGACTTTTAATTACAAATTATATAATAACAAATATAATATTTAACAATTACATATTTTTATTTTTATTTAAATTTATTATTGAATTATAACTAAATTCATAATTAATAATTTATAATTAATTATTCCAGAATCAAAATATATTTCCAATACTTTATATGGGCTACCCCATGATCCCTGTGATCAATTATAATGTAAGTATTTTAAATATTCAATAATTTGACATAAATTTTGTACATACATTTTTATTGATATATTTATTAATAACATTTAATCATATTTGTATCTTTCAGCCTCTGCAACATCAGCCGCAACAATATTGGCGACGTCAGCCACAGAACAATGGGCGACGTCAGCCACAGAACAATGGGCGACGTCAGCCAGTGGACGAATGGCGACGTCAACCAAAGGACGCTCGGCGACGTCAGCCACAGAATAATCGGCGACGTCAGCCAGTGGACGAACGGCGACGTCAACCGCAGGACGATCGGCGACGTCAGCCACAAAACAATCGGCAACGCCAGCCAGTGGACGAACGGCGACGTCAACCGCAGGACGATCGGTGACGTCAGCCACAAAACAATCGGCAACGTCAGCCAGTGGACGAACGGCGACGTCGGCAGGAAGAAGATCGTCAACGGCAAGAGGAAGAGGACCGCCAACGTCGTCAAGAAGAGAATAAAGAAAAACAAAAGAAAAAGAAACAATGTAAGTTTTTATATTATATTTTTTTTTAATTGATATATATTAACATATATATTTTAATTTATTTCAGTTTTCCAATTGCGGCGTAAGCTGAAGATGGTACAAAAAGAAAATCCCCAATTATCAAAGAAAAATGTTTGAAACGATCATAATAATATACAGAACGTGCTAACTAATGTGAACTGATTCAGACAGAGCAAGTTCACATTGAAATTTGAAATTTTTTTATGTGTTTTTCTAATTTTATTAATAAAAAATATAAATGTAAATGTAATTATTAAATTTTTAAACAAGCGCTAACAGTTTTACTTTTAACAATAATTTTTTTTGAAAATAAGCTGTCACTTCCGTTTGTACTTTATTTCGAGCAAGCATTTTATGCACCCGTTTCTCTCGACAATTCTTCAGTACTATTAAATGTTTGGTAACACGATTGTCTTCTCCCCAAGCGATTACTTTATTGAATGCGGTTAAAGCTTCTGTCGAGCTAATAGTTGGCGTGTTTCGTTGTTCACTAGCCCTTTCGTCTTCATAATCATTATCAACTTCATTATTCTCAATGTCTAGTTCAACACACTATCTCTCCTCATCTAATCTCATAATTTAAATCTAATTCAGCTAATAAAGTGTTAACTTTAAAATGGGTGGTTTATATCAGCAAGGTATTGCTGCAGTTATGTACTCAATGAAATGTCGTCTTCAATATTGAAGTTTTGTTCAAAATTTAGTAAAGTTTTTCAACATTTTCGGATTGCTTCAACTTTGATTTTATTCCAATGTTAGATTTGTGATAACGTCTTTAAGCGTTGACTTGGCCAGCGTTAAATATCATACGAATAACATTTGGTTTATTGGTTGAATTAAAGGAGTTACATTTGGTGGCATGTATACTACAAAAATACTACTATCATCTAACTGCAAGACCTGTCCAGAAGGGTGGCAAGCAGCATTGTCTAACAGTAGAATTGTCTATGGCATCTAAAATCTTTGTTTTATTTTTTTTTATCGTACAAACTGAAGTACATATTTTTGATTTGTACATTTTGCGAAAAAAGCCTATGCAGTATACCAAAGAAAGCTGACGCCTAGGAATTGAAATAACATTGTAACAAAAACAAAATATGCTCATGTTTTTGATAATTTATATTATTTATAAGCCTTAAAATAAAAAAATAACAGAAAGAATAAAAGTTTTCAGTTGTTCACATAATTGGATCGTCACCTTGTCCACTCTATAAAATACCACGTGTTAATTTTTTCGGTGATTATTTTGTCCACATAAATGGATATTTACTTAATCGAGTATTCACATAACCAAGAGAATACTGTAATTAAATTTATATTAAAATAAAATATCTTTTATTTTTTATTGTATTATTATATATTATTTTATTATTATTTTATTATGTTGTATTTTATTATATCAAAATAAAAATAACTTTTGATTTTAATTTAAAAAATTATTTATTATTCATATTAAAAAATTAATTATCACAACAAAATACAGGTTTGGAATTTCCATGTAGTTACCGATTAATTGGCAACACAAATTCTATTGTATTGTCAATAGGTTACTTTTTAATCAAATGGTCAGTAGATACCTGTCCATTTCATACTTATACGTATACTATTTATACGTTATATACTATTTACTTCTCCTTTCCTAAATTAGTAGTTGTAGATCTGCACTTAAGCAAAGTTAGCCTTGCTCAAACTTCTTGAACTAGATAAGAACGTACTCTTAGATAGTGTTGTCATATCTAAACAATAGTTGGTCTAGTTACAAGTAATCTTGCTAATGCAGGCTATGACGATCATAGATATACGATAATAAGTGAAGATGGGACCTGGTTTTTAATAATAATAATAATAATAATAATAATAATAATAATAATAATAATAATAATAATAATAATAATAATAATGTTTGTTTGAATTCATACTAAACTATTAAAAATTGTTTTCTGCTGTTAAATTAAGTTATAAAAATTATATTTCGTTCCTTCTGATATAATAAAATAATTTTAAAATTGTGTGTAAATCGGTTTTTGGATATATAGTTATGTAGAATTCTGTGGATCTGTGTGTCTATTTATTTCTCAAGATTTTTATATTTGTTTTTAAATCTGAAATATTTATTTGTAAATATTGTCGCGAACTTTTAAAATTAAGAAAAATATATTATTTCTGAAATCTCTATATAATATCTACATAGTTTCTTTTATTAACTTTTAATTTTTGTTATATATTTAGTTGCCGAATACAAACTAGTTTCTTATTCTTAAATAGTCTTATTTTTTTTAAAAATAATTATTTCACGGGCTAAATAGTCTTAACTTATAATTTTTATATATCAAATTAATTTCACGGGCTAAATAGTCTTATATAATTTTTATATATCAAATTAATTTCATAATTATGTTCTCTAATTATTGAAGTAATTAAAAGCTAGCTTAATTTTTTTTTCTAAGCTTATACAAAAAATTATTACAATTATTCCAAAAATTGTGACCATACAAAAGTGATGATATACATATATTTGTTAGTAAGTGGTCTTAATACAAAAGTGATGATATACATATATTTCTTAGTTAGTGGTCTTAATCAATTACTTAATAGATTTAAAAGTAATAATTATCATTATTACTAATGATTATAAAAATATTTTTAATTTTTATTCACAATTTATATAATATATGTTAAATATGTTTGATTGGTGAGGTTTCTACAATAGTTTTAATTTGTTTCTTTTTTTTTAAACATAATAATTTTTATAAAAATTTCGACTTGGTATTTATTCTAAACATATATATATATATATTCTAAATCTATATATTCTAAATCTTTTTATATATTTTCTTATTCATATATAAGTTTTAAATTTATAATATCAGCATTTGTTCTATTTATTCGTTTCTGTGCTTTGTGATTACATTCCTGACTCCGCAATACCTTCCTCATCTGTAATATAAAAAAAGAAATATTAAAATAATTGAAAAATGTCTAAATTTTAAACAAATACATGCTATATCTATCATATGTACATACAATGACATATATATTAAGTATTATATATTTTCTTAAAAGATATGTTAAACTATTAATTTTTGAGGTTATTAATACTTTAATTCTAATAATTATATAGTTTTAAACTTGAAGAATGAAGAATTAAAACTATTTATTCATTTTAATTTTATATAACAATAAATTAGTTTACATTACTCTATTTGTCTTTTAACTTCAAAGTTTATTTAGTTTAATTAATTAACGTTAAAAAAAGTATTTATTTCTCAATTTACAAATTAACATGTATACATATTAAATCAATATCTTTAATTTAATACTGTTGTTAAAAATAATAATTGTCATATACAATTATAATAATAATAATAATAATAATTCTAAAAATAAAAATATAATAACAGTAATTATAATATCATTAAAATTATAACACAAATCTAACAATTATAATCTAATAATAATAAACATTATAGCAATAATCATAATAATAACAATTATAAATGAAACGAATATATTATAGATAAAATAAAAAAAAAGTATAATTGATTGATAATATATTAGTAATATTTTTAAATAGTTGATAGAACTATATGCTTTGTAATCGACTAATGTGTTTCAAAAATATAGATATTTGTAATCAATAGCTGAAACAGGGAATTCAATAAAAATTATGATAATATTAATTATTACAATATTAATAACAATTACAATGATAATAATAGTTACAATTATAAAAATAACAATAATAATTACAATTATTACAATAATATTAATTTTAATATTTCATATTTAATTTTTAAGTCAATAAAAATGTTAATATGTTAAAAAAAAGTTAGTAATGAAACAAACCTTTACGCATAGCATAGACGAATATATCAACAAAATGATCGGTACCAATACGATCGCGGAAAGCATGCATACAACGACAAGTGTTTGTGAAGGATTCGGTACTCCATGTTATGAATTGGAGATGGCGTAATATACGTTGTTCACTTCCCTAAATTTAATAAAGTCATAAATCAGTTATAAAAATTTAAACAGAATGTTTATTTACCCAATTCGTATCGACATGATGTCATTGGCACGTGAGTCTTTTGTAGTTTTCTTACACCTGGTATAACTTCTTTTCTAAAAGATGACAAGCAGTATGAAAATAATGATTAATAGTGCAGAAATAGCGACGTTCAATGTGGTGTTATCTTGATCTTAGAAATATGAGAAAAGATATAAATATCAACAAGAAATCACAACGACAATATATATTAATATGATATGAATGAATTAATTAAGTTTAAGCTTATGAGACTACATGTAATCCGCAAATCTGAAAGACTGTTTAATGTCTATTACCTTAGCTGGTGATGATAAGTGATCTTTAAATAAAAGTATTCGTTTAGCGTTACTTTATTGATCGCAGCTCCTGAACACAAAATAGGTGGAGTGGATTGCGTTGTTGTATTAAGTCGTGTACTTCACTAAAAAACATAAAAACTGTAAATAAATTTTAAAGTATATATAATAAAATATTGAATTGTACAATTTTCACGATTTATTGTAATTAAACAAGAAAAAAACAAAAACATAAAAATTGAAAATATTAATTTGTGTATGTGTTTAATACATTAAAATTTGTTAAATTAAAAATGTATTATATGTTTAAATTTTTGAAATTTATAAATACCTTTCAATTGACTTATCTTTTCCGATTTATAAAGGTCCTCGTTGGCACACCAATGTTACTGAAATGATTCCTTGTACACTATATTTTTCAAGTAAGCTCCAATTGAAATATTGGAATTTCTCTTATCTGCTCTTATGAGTGTAATTTAAAAGAATATAAAAATGTACAAAAAATTTATAGATGTACTTTAAAAGAGAAAAGTTTCAATAAACAATATATATAGTGAAATTAACTACTTTGTATCACAACTAATACAAATAAAAGTTGTAGTATTAATTTCTTTCTTAGCATAATAATCTGATATGATTGTGTACAAATTACATTCGCGATGTGTTGCTTAACCCATGCTGCACAATGAATGCAAACTTCGTCGAGAGGATCGCAATATTTCATTAATCTTTCCTTAATACTTATTCTGTATTGTTGTGGAAGTATTAATGAAGTCAACGGAAGAGTTTTAATGAAAGCCTCACAATATTGCAAGGCGAAAATACCGCAATTGTTGCCATCATCAGAAGGTTGTGTTTCATATTTTATATTTTCTATGATCCAAATATTAAATGGAAATTTTTTCTTAAATACAGTTATATAATGTTGGGAAATGGATTCTTTCAAAGGCGTATTACCATATGGATCAATACTGACAATTGTTCCTTTTAAGAAATCAGCAAAACAAATGAGAAAATGATTATCCCATAAATGCGGAATAATAAGTAAGTGGGGTTGTTTTTTTAAAAATTGTTCAAAAAAAGATTCATTATTTAAATTATTTTAACACGGCAGAAGTGAACAATTCTCTCTCTTACTTTCATAAATAATCACTGTTAAAGATGCTTCTAATATTGAGTTAAGAAGCCAGTTATTATCATTCAAAGTACATAAATCGCTTTGCGTATAAAAGTGCTCGAAACGGTTACTTTCTTCTTTCAACACATTAGTGAAAAGTGTAGTTAGTTTAAAAGCATAATACTTTGTCGGATATGTCAAATCATTTTGACTAACATTACTACAACTTTCCATTGGTACAATAGAATAGTTGTTTTCCGACAAAGTGTTTGATTCAACAACATTTTGTTGTTGCATCTTCAGAATTTTGTCTCTGTGAGAACGAATCACACTATGCTCTTTTAAAAAACATTTAGAGCGAAGATTTCCTTTATTTTTTTTTGCCACGACTCTGAAACATTTGCAAGTTTTTTGTTTTGAGTAACACCCATTACTTTGCGTGGCCTGATTTTACGTTTATTTTTTCGAGTACTCTTTACAAGAGTATCTGAAAGTATGGGTGGGTATAATTCATGGTCATATAATAACTTAATATGCATGATCAATGAATTATGATAATCAAACATTTTAAGAACAAAACGACCAAGTTTTTGCGGCTTGGATTCGAGAATGTTGTTCTTAATACTGTTAAAGTAAGATTCAACAGGTCCACTACTAACTCTAGTATTTGATTCATCTATGTGAATACCTAGAGTATTAGAAGACATTGGTAAAAATGGTATGTATTTCTTTAAAAGTAGTTCTGCCATTTTCGGACAATATAGAGAAATTTCCGATTTAGAATCGGTAATATCCTCTCTATATGAGAACTCATCGAAATACTTTTGAAATTCTTTTCTGAAAGGACTGTCTCTTGTAATAGATGACAGTGTTTCAATATTGAATATTTCAGTATAATCATTAGAAGTTTCAGCAGAATAGGATTCATCTACATCTGAGGAAATCCCAAATTTAGTTAAGGTTATAAGTGCATTTCTCACTCTTATTGTGGATGTTTTCGAACATAAAATAATGCATAAACATTCAAACCAATTTCTGCAGTCGTTTAGAGTGCATAAATTGAATAGAATTCCCATTCCTTCTCGTAGAAATTTACGTAATTCCATAGCCTTAGGACAATTTTGAATACCGACTACATTGTCGATGTCCTTGCAAATAATTTTGCAGTAGTGGCTTACACAAAACTACGATGCGTTTAAATATTCTAAAATGGAATGCATCCCATTGAATATTTCTAAAACTGCTAAAATTGCAGCGAAACTAACGTCAGTAACAATTCTCCGACAAATAGGCCATTTTAAATTATTGTTTGCACAATATTTCTTTATATGTGCCAAAAACGCGGCAATATCAACTGCGGAATGATTGGATAGAATTGCATCGGCAATTGAAAAACAATTTTTTTTTCTGGAATATGGCCGATTAAAGAATATAACAATATTTTATTGGTTTTGAATGGTAATTTTTGTATAATACTACCAGTTGCATCGAAGCGAATAGTATCGTGCATTTTGTTTAAAATAAAAAAGTTATTTTGTTGCAAAATGTTAATTTGATCGCAACGCCACAAAAATAATTCAATTTTTGTAGATAATCGTTGAATGTAATCGTTACGTTGACCTTTAAACATAAGGTATACGTCAACAAATGGATCTGAATTAAAATCATTTTGAGCAATGGCTTCTGATTTTATATTCCTGTAATAGGACAATGATTTGATTCCGTCAGATCTTTCAGATTCATAATTGAATCTCAAACATTTGAAATTTAGCCCGCACGCATTATTATATTGGGCATAAGAATACCGCAATATACATTCCAACATTTTTTTTAAAGTAAATTTATTTTTATATAAGTTAATTATTTCCGACATATTTTGAATTTCAAATTCAACATCTCTATTTTTGCATAGAAATGAAATAAATCGTTTATTTTTAGGTGTCTCTACCATGAGAACACTTCGGTTTAATTCTGAAGAATTATTAGATTTTTCATGGCTTTTAAAAGCCCAATATTAAAACTGTTATCATTGGTATTTTTCTCTAAAAAAGAGGAATCATTAAACATAGAAGTGTCAGTAATTTATACATTTTTAATTAAAGATTGGTTGCTATTTTTTTCGTTGCTTTTAGAAGCTAGAAATAAAATATATTTTATTAAATTTAAATCAAACATTATTTAAATTAATTTTTTTTAAAATAATAAATTAATAAAAACATATCTTAGTGAAAACATAACTCAAAAATATTTAAAATAACTATTTAACTAATACAGATAATAAATAAATAAATCTTATTTTTATTAAAAATTATTCTAAATTTAAATTATGAAATTGTAATTCATAATAATATAAAAGAAAAATTATATATGTGTAAAAGATTTATCGAGTAATATGTACTTATGATTTAAATAAAACCAAAGAGTATACAAACATAGAGAGTGCAAACACAGAGTCGAACAAAGTTCCTCAGCACGTGAAAAACAATCTGGCTATTTGCCAATTACAATTAGTAACAAAAGATTTACGTTCTCTTAATATCACTGAAGGTAAAGTTTCATTTTACTTTGTAAATAAAATTTTGTTATTTGTATAATTGCTTGTAGGGGATGGGTTGAGAAAGCTGGCTCAGGCTCTCATTGATATCGGCGCAAACTACGGTAAACAAAATTTGAAGAAATGGTAGTGTCCCGAAAGACACTAACTAATTCGATTTTACTATAACATTATCTAAAACTTTTGATTATTTCATTTGGCATTTACCACTGATATGTTAACGGACGAATATAGTCAACGAACGAATATAGTCAACGAACGTTTCCCACATTAACTACACATTATATTGATGACGAATTTAAACTTAATGTGAAGGTGCTCCCAAGTTAACTAACAAACATATTCAATCAAAAATTTTTGATAAAATGAAAGTGAGCTTAAGCTATATATTAAAAACATTTATTTCAATGGAACAAAATTATGCAACAAATGAAAAAAACTTTATGTAATAGTTTGGTCACTAAAAACATTAAGCAAATATCTTTATAGTGTTAGAGAATTAAAAATTTAATTAGATTATCAATCTTTAACATTTGCAATGTCAAATAAAAATCCAAATTCTAAAATAAAACGTCGGCGGGCATTAATTGAAGAAAACTTTTCTAAATTTAACGTAGCCACAGATGCGTTATCACAATTTATGAGGGTTGTTGTGTCCACCTTGTGTTAGAATTAGTGCCCTCAGTCGCCTCTCATGGCATGGTGGCTAGCCCGGTATGCTCGCCGGTTTTGGGGTGGGGTTCTTGACAACTGAGGCTACACTGTAGACAACAACAAAAAAAAATTCATGCCATGTTTTAAATTCATATCCTAACTTAACTAAATTTATCTATAATTCATTAATATTCCATCTTTACATTTATTCATATTCATATAATAATATTCAAATAATGATTATTATGTTCATATAATAAACTAACTACACTACTTATTTCAATGCGTAAAAAACAAAAAAACTATTAGTTACCTACTTCATTTTTACTTGACCTAAATTACTTCAATATTTCGACACCTAAAAAAAATCTATAATTAAAACCACTGTTATCTATTTGGGTTTCTTAAACTTAAAAAAGTCTTCATCGAATAGGATGGGAAGAGCCTTGTTCCTGATATTCACTACTACTACCGCTGCCTTAGGAAGTTCAGTATACGCTAGGCTTACACCTAAATCACTGGTTCTACCTCTGGGCAACCCCGCTGCTTTCATTTCAGATATGATGGACTCTTCCATCCCCCAATCGATGGTTTTAACATCACCAGCCTGCATCGTCACGGTTTCTTCCAATGTGGGAAACACTGGCAATACATCTGGTAATGCTTGCGTGCTGTCAGTAAAACGCTTCATTTTAAAATCACGTGAAGAAAAGAGGAATACAATTTCTTCTCAAGGAATCCCTGCCTTAAAATAAAAAAAATGTTTGGAACGCCGCACTAACACCACCCCTCTATATTGATTCAGCAATATCTCATCATGAGCTCATAATTAATAAATTAAAAAAAATATATATATATATTTTTTTTTGTAAATTTTTTTTTTCTTTATTATTATATACTATAAATACGAAAGTTGTTTTATAACGCTTATAATATTATTTCAAATTAGTAAAAAAATTTTATCAAAATATTTACTCAAATATAGCTATTTATGTTATTTCATGTAGGAATATTTACAATATTTCTTATATAAATAGATATTTACAAAGTATTTCATGTATACATATAATTCCTATAATTCCTATATAATATTTT